GCTTAAAAGCCTGAATTTTGCCTGAAACTCTCAGACTGAAGAAGTCTCTTGGAGGAGAGACGAAAYGTTTCATTAGAGAAGAACCCGTCCTATACAATTTTTTTCTTTTTGATTTTTTACCTGGATTACTGAGATGCATCAGGACACTCCAGCAAACTAGTTACTGGCTGTAAGAGTCAACCCTGTTCAAGATGGCTGTCACAAATAAGTGACCTTAAATACGAAACCATGTCTGTAATTTGGTCAGTTTTACAGATGCTGAGCTAAAATGTGCCGTGCTGGTAGCTGAGAGTCACCCACGACACATTTTCTGAGCACTAACACATCTTTCAATGTTGCACGAGATAACATCATTTACAAAATTTTATCAAAATGATTATAATAAGATGATTTCAGTTTAAAACTCTGACCAGAAAGACAACAGATAATATGCATTTCTTCATTCTTAAACTTTTAATCTGTTAATTTTAGAGCACAACTCTTAAATCAGGTACTTGGATTTTGTTATGTTGAGTCTAAAATCTCCAGATTGCGCTTGTTTAAATCTAGTCTTTATCGTCACAAATTACATGAATAAAAAWTTTAAAAAGCAACTTAAGGATAAGCACATAAAGAATTCTAATCAACTGGTTCTGATTTCCAGCTTCTCTGAAATTACTTAAATCCTAAAAAGTGAACCATGAGACTTTACACTGTTTTTATTTATTTCTTTTTCCAAACCTAAGCTAAAATTCAGAATTTCCCTGTAGAAAATGCCTGCACGTGTTCTGCTTTCGTGGAAAGTGAGATGATAAATAATGGCACCACGCCGCTAAATAAAGGTACTTGACTACGTGACCATTTGCAAACGTTTACACCTCTATCTAAGCAGATGTTTGGATAATTTGTTGCTTTCAGAACAAACAGCAACCGTGACAGAGACGCAGCGGTTGCTGAACGTCCTTATGTAGTTATAAAGTCACATTTCAGCATTATGACTAGATAATTACTGCTAAAAACCTAAAATAAAAATTAATTAACTCAATTRTCACTAGTTGTACAAGCTGTTCAAACCTACCTGTAATGTTTTGTTCGTTTAAAGTTATAACCTGATAAAGAGAGCTATTCTCCCTTATATCCCTTTAATAAACAGGGATTTATTTACTTTTTGTGACATGTCTTCTAGAATAATCTCAAAGTGTTTTTAAGATATTTTGAGACAATTTGTGAGAAATATTGGACACATATATTTGAATAGCAGCTGACTTCTTGCATTAGACAGCTATTATTTAATAAATTAAGTGTCAGCTGATGCTTATCACAGACATTCAGCTGTTTTCCATCAAGACTTCCTGTCAGAGCAGCCTCACAGCTCGTCCACGTCTCCACAGCGGGGTGTGTGAGCTGTGGGTGCTGCGAGCACAGCAGCATTGTGTTCCGCCCTCACTGTGCCGGGTTTCCAGTAAGCGTCCACGTGGGTCACGAGTGGCTTGGCCTCTCTTGTTGCTGCTGCAGCGCCCGAGTCGCGGCTCACTCGCTCGACACGCCAATCAGCCAAACGCAGTCGCTCCGTCAACCCCGAGCCGAGAGACGCTCCTCTCAGGTGTAATTTGTGTTTTTTACCGTCAGACGATGAACGGCAAATGTGGCTAATTCTCAGCTGCAAAAAGAGCTGATTGTTATATTAMTGTTTTTATCTCCATCTAATCCGAAACTTTCAAAAAGGACAAGGTGTATTTTAATTTGGTAACTCTGAAGCTGATAACCAGAAAATTATTATTTTATTGATGAATCAGCTAAAACATATGATGATTGTGTAGTTTTAATTAAATTTGTTTCAGCTGATGTTTGTTGACGATGATTTTTTTGACTTTTTTRTCACTTATTACTGTTTTATCTTTACACTGCAAAAAAGCAAATGAGAAGTGTGAGGCCAAGTGTTTTTCYTTCACAATACACGGAAACAACAACGTGCAAAATACCCAAAATACTTTCTACCAGCTTGTGACATGACTTGGCATGTTGTACTGTTTCATAAGGGTGAGCTGGTTTGTTTCAGCTTTGATTTGACTTTTTATCCAATGAAAAAACCAACAGCTAAATTAAATCCTCCTTTATCTGAAACACACTTTTGTGCAGAGAAGTGTGTTCATCCTTGATGATAACAATGGAAACTATTTTGTCTTGTCAGGTTCACAGAAGGTAACTTTCTCTTGTGACCTCGCTTTCACTCCTAAAATTAATTGACATTCCTCGTTTCTGTTAGAATGAACGAGCTGTATCCAGCTAGTTGTTTTTTTTTACATTGTGTGTTTTTAGTTTTAAAATATTTGTACATCTGAAATTAAAAGATTTGGAAGGTTTTATATATTGTTAAGTGAGGAGGATTTATTCACAATAACAAAACTACATGAATGCCAGTCTTATCCTTAAATCAGTGATGAAGATACTGAAGCAACACGGTGTTTGTTTCCAAAGCCTCTACCTCCACATCTGTCCCGAGCGTCAGCAGAGGCATCGGAGTGGTCCTGGTTAGGGTTGGGTATTGAAAGGATTTGTTTCGATACCGGTGCTAAATCGATACTTTCAAAACAGTACCGGTTCCTAAACGGTATTTAAATCGGTACTTTAAAAACAAATAAAACATACACACTCACACACAGAGGTTTATGAAGCAATGATTATTTCTGAGGCAAAGTCAAACTTGAAATTGACCAACATATTAAATGGTACTGGTAAATGGTACTGAACTTATAGAGCGCTTTTCAAGTCCCTCCGGACCCCAAAGCGCTTTACACTAACAG